AGTGCCCTGCCCATTTGCACTGGTGCCAGTAACAAGTACCTGGTTATCACAGGGTGAAAAAAGAACCAGCAAACCGAACTTCAAAGGTTTGTCTTCACCTATTAAATGGAGCCAGACCCCTGCTCCCCACCTCCAACCAAAGCTGCATCAGCATTTCTCACATCTAAACAGCATCTGCTGGAATAGTACCCACCTCTCTTTCCCTTGTATACAGCATTTTTAGAGGCTCCGCTGATTGAGGGCTCAGTGCAAAACCAAGCCCCAGCAACACCTTTGGGCATCCCCTGTGCTGGGCTTGCAGCCGAGCGGAGCTGTAAGCCTCCTGCAAAGACTTCACATACTACAGGCTGTGGGATGAACACCACACAAGGTGATGGCAGCAAACTCCACCTCTGTGACCCTCAAAGCCTTCAGCTCTCCTAGCACACCTACCAGAGCAGCTCGTGCAGGAGGCGGCCAGATCCTCTCCCGCGGTTCTTGTCGAAGGCATAAGCAAAGATTTTAGCACCATTTCCATCAGCATCGACCTCCATCCGAGCCTAGGGAAGAAGGAAAGGCTGTGAGCACATCCACCACCACACAGCAGAGCACACACACGCCCCTGGCAGAGGGGAAGGACCCACCATTGTGCACTTGTTTCCGCTGTTCAGCCTCAGCGGAATTTGAGTGGTTTCAAACCTCCACAGGGAAACCACTGGCTCTGCTACTGGGGGTTAGGAAAGGGGAAAAGGAGGCTGAGACTGGATGCGTCCCACTGGACAAAGGAGCTGAGCATGGATGTGCCCCACTGGACAAAGGACAGCCCCAACCTGGCTGGAAGCCTGGAGGCTCCATCTCCACTCAGGTATAAACTCCAGTGTCATCATGGCACTGAGGCTTCATCTTTGGTGCTGCTTTACACCAACCTAACGAGAGGTTACCAGTGGGAGGAATGGTCCTGCCCTTTTCCCTCCCCAACCCCGATGCTCGAGAGCTGTACTAAGGACCAGGCAGATTCCAGGTGCTTGCAGCGCTAGGACATGCTTATGGGGAGCAACCACCATGGAGGAACGAGCGGATGTGGAGCTTTCTGGCAGCTCCTCCTATGAGCCCCGAAGCACTCACGGTCCCTCCTCCAACCCCCCTGCGGTCCTTCCCCCCAGAGCCTCGCAGGATCCACCTGCAGCGGGTGCCAGAGACAACGGCTTCCCCGGGATGCAGCACGTTAACTCGGAGCACATTTACTCATCAGGGCTGGGTGTGGGGTGAGCAGTTTAAAGGCCGCCAGCCCCGACACGGGCAGACAAATGAGCTGTTCTCACAGCGGACACACGGGAAGAGGAAAGAAAAAAACCTACACGGTAAATTTAAGGCTGTAAAATAATGACCATAAATACTCACATGGAAATTGTTTTCAACTACCCGATGCGTTAGTTTGTTTCAAACTACGTCAGAACGATCCGCTTTAAACCAACGCTTGTTTTTAAACCAGGAAACGGAACTTTTCCCGCTGGAAAACGCTCCCACCGGTCCTGCATCCATCTCAAACGTTCCCCACCGCCCCCCCCCCCCGCCCCGGGCCGGGCCCTCCCACGGCAGCTCCTTAAGCGCGGCCCACGAGGGGAACCGGGAGATCGGGCAGCGCCGCCCGGCCCCTCGGCTCAGCGCGGGACTGGCGGCGGGTTCGGGGCACACGGCGGGGGGGGGTGCGAGCGAGGGAAGAAGCGGGCGAAGGCAGCGGCGGGTCCCGCGGGGCGAGGGGAGGGGGCACGGGGGTGGCGGGGCCTCACCTCGAAGGAGAAGCTCTCCACCAGCGGGATGTCCTGCTCGTCGATCAGCGTGTACTTGGTCTGAAACACAGCGGCACCGCGGCCGTCAGCGCGGCCGCACGGCCCGGCACGGCACGGCCCTCCCGCGGCCCCGGCCAACCCCCACCACCCCCGATCCCGATCCCGATCCCGCCCCCCCTCCCCCCGCACCTTCCCGGCCACCCGGCCCAGCCGCACGATGCCCAGCTTGAAGTCGGTCATGGCGGGTCCGGGTCCGGGCCCGGCCCGCGCGCGCCCCTCCGAGCCGCTGCCACGCGCCGCCGCCTCGCGCACACCCGGGGGGGGGCGGGGCACCGCACCACCTCCCACCAGCGCGAACCCGGCCAATGGCGGCCCGCGCCGCGCGGAACGTCACTCTTACTACGCCGCCGGGTGGCCCAATCGGCGGGAGGCGCAGGATCACGTGGGGAAGGGGAGCGGGGGGAGGGCCGGAGGGAACAGCCGCGCCGAGCGCGGGCTCCGGGCGGGAGAGGGAGGTGCGGGCGGTGACGTCACGTTCGCGGGAAGCTTTGTGCCGCCAAGACGGGAGAGTGCGGGAGAAGGGGGCGGGGCTTAAGGGAGGCACCGCGCGGCCGCTGAGGCTCCTCCTCCTCCTCCTCCGGGCCCCGCGGGGGCAACCGCGGAGCCCCGGGGCCGGGCGGGTCCTGCTGCGGCGGTCCCGGCGGACGAAGGGCCCCGGAGCCCCCCAAAGCGCGAACCCAGACTGAACCCCAAGGGGCTCACGGAGCTTCCCGCGCGAGGAGCCCGCAGCCGAGCACGTGCGTCCCGTGCCGGACACAGGCCTGCTCCGCAGGGACACCTGGAGCACGGGCACAGGATTCAGAGGGCAAACCGATGGGCGGGTGACGTGGGTCCGACCCCCAAAGTGACACGTCAGTGGTGGGATGGCACAGCCGTAGCCTGAGGAACATGGGTGACACGAAAGGTTTAACCCGGAGCCAGAAGCATCCAAACAAGACAAACACTGAATCCAAAGCTGAATCCTGGCTTCTGTCTTCCCTCCCTGTGATGGAGCAGACCCTCAGGAGGGAGCAGTGATCCGACTGTGAGAGAGCTGGGTCAGCCTGGAGAAGGCTCTTGAAGGGGAGACCTTAGGGCAGCTCCAGTGCCTAAAGGGGCTGCAGGAAACCTGGAGAGGGGCTTTGGACAAGGGCCTGTAGGGACAGGACAACGGGGAGATCTTAGTCAGAAGTTCTCCACTCTTAAGGGTGCTGAGCAGCTTCTCAGCATCCCCTTCCCTATTTCCTGGATGATGCAGGTCACCAGGGTGGAAAACCTCCTGACTTTGGAGCTCAGACAGAGTTATCAAGAAGATGGATTTTAAATGTGAAGCTAATGTAAGTCATTACTATCCATCCTCTGCCTCCTTTTTAAGAAACCTGGTTTGGGGTGTGTGCCCTGCTTCCAAGCACTACATCCCTTCTACCAGAGCACAGCAGCAGGACAATGTGCCCTGCCCCAGGAGAACTCCCCTTGAGCAAAAGAAATCCCTTTTCCAATTACTTCCAGCACTGCCAAGTGGGGAAATCCCACAGGATGGGTGGCGGGTACCCAGGACAGCCCCAGGACCCCTTGAGCCAAGAGCTCCCAAGAGTCTGGGCTTCACACTAAGGTGGGGGGCTTCTAACGCCAAGGGCACCAAACACTGAGCTAATTTAAACTAGAGGGGTGCTGCAGTTCCCTGTGTTTTGGGAGGTGGGGAAGGGGCAGGTTGCAGGGCAGGAGGACCCGTATCTGCCCCTTGCTCAGGGAGTATCCAGGTCCAAGCAAAGGTGGCCACTGGCTTGGATTCTGGCAAGGGTTCCTCTTCCTTGCCCAGCTGCCTCAGAAAAAAAAAGCCCTACGAACAGCAGAAGGAAAGGCAAATGAAAGAGCAAAGCCTCAAACTCTCCTGTTTCTGCTTCCAGCAGCTGATGCAGCACCACAGGACCCAGCCCAGGCTCGGGGCATGGGGTGGAGGCAGCAGCACACACAGCTGCCCAAGGTCCAGCCCAGCTGCACAGGACAGACAGGTCCAGAATGGGGCAAAACCTCAGGATGAGCAGGAACCACCATCCCCCTGGGGACATCTGGGGCAGAGCTTGGTCACTTCTGCTTTAAGAACAGCTGCCAGCCCAGCCCTCACCAGGGATCCCGGCAGCTCCCTCTGCCCATCAGCTCAGGGCAAAATGGGAGTTGAAACTTCCTTAGTTTCAGGCAGCAGGGCCATGGTGGAACAGAGGAAGGCTGCAGTTTCTTTGGGCTGGCCCCAGTGCTGACCTGGCAGTTTGAATCCTGCAGGGGCAGGCTGGGAGACTTCTCCTTTCCCAACCCACAGTGCCACACAGGCCAGAGGTTCCTCCTGCTAACCAAGGGTAGGACTAGGATTCATCTCGAGGTCCCCTCCAACCCTAACAACTCTGAGCAACCATGGCACACAACCCTGTCTGTCCTCCACAGGTCCTGTAATCCCTGGCAATGCTGTTCCTGGAGCCTGGAGAGGAGAACCTTAGAGCAGCTCCAGTGCCTAAAGGGGCTATAGGAAACCTGGAAAGGGGCTTTGGACAAGGGTCTGCAGGGACAGGCCAAGGGGAATGGCTTTAACCTGCCCGAGGGGAGACTGAGATGAGCTCTTAGGCAGAAGCTCTTCCCTGGGAGGGTGCTGAGGCGCTGGCACAGGGTGCCCAGAGAAGCTGTGGCTGCCCCATCCCTGGCAGTGTTCAAGGCCAGGTTGGACACAGGGGCTTGGAGCAAGCTGCTCTAGTGGAAGGGGTCCCTGCCTGTGGCAGGGGTTGGAGCTGCATCAGCCTTAAGGTCCTTTCCAACCCAAACCGGTCTGGGATTCTGTGAAGCTCCCCATGCTTGGTTGTGGCATGCTGTGGGGGCTCAAGGGAAGCTGGACCCATTACCACAGCCCTTGCCCTAACAGCAGACACCACTTCCTGCCCCAAGGTGTGTTCAGCGAGCACACAGGAAGCTTTACACAGGCTCCAAGTCAGTGAGCACGATTTGCTCCTGACTGGAGAGCTGGCTTGAGGGAACTGCTCCCAGCTCAGTGCTGCCTGAAGCAGAGGGCTTCAGGGAAGCAGATCGGAAATGATCATCTGTCTCTGATGTGCATTAAGAACCAGCACCATGGGCAAGAGAGAGGGCAGGTGGTCCTCAGCCGGGATCCATTGCTCCCATGACAGACGACAAGACAGCAGCACTGCCTGCAGACAACTGGGTCTTTTATTAAGTACTTAAAGTGCTACAAAAAACCTCAGGAGCCTTTATACAGCAACTTCATTTCTCCAGCCCTAGCTCTGTTGGAAGAAGCAAGCACAGCTCATTAGTGTAAGTCTTACAGTACTTGGAACAGTACAGCATGTTTCAGTGGTGGGTACTTACAGCTGGGCACTCAATTGCACCACTATTGATGTCATCAATGATGTCATGTGGGTGCCGACCATCAATGCTGCAGCCCACTGATTGGGCAGTCCCAAGGATCTCCTTGATTGTCCCTGCAGGGGGAAGAGGCAGCTCATCAGTGCTCTACCACAGGGAAAGCTGTGAAAAGCAACTGGGGAACTTCACTCTTCACCATCCCACCTACCCTCCTGGGGGTGTTGCAGGGCTCACCGGGGACAGCAAGTCGCCTACACTGGGTCTGGTGCACCAGTTTCACAAGGAGCACACCAGAAAGCACCATCACCATCCTGTACAACCTCCACCAGGAGGAAGGCCAGGCCCGCCATCCCATGGGAGCTGTTCCCACACCACAGCGCAGGGCTCACCCGGCAATGGGAGCAGGCTCTCTGGGGAGCAGAGCAGGACCGTGCATCCCACCACAGCACGTACCTGAGAGCTCACGGGCCAGGGACCGGTGCCGCATCTGCCGCGCGATGGCCACGATCTCGTCAAAGCTGACGCTGCCGCTGTGCTTGACTGGGGAGGAAGGGTCACGTAAGCACTGACACTGCAGCTCCCTCCAGCCTCAGCAATGGGAGCCACTTTACACCTCAGCACGTCTGCTCCCAGGCTTGGGCACAAAGACACCCGTGAGAAGGCAAGCTGAGAGCTGGGCTGCTTCAGCTGGGGAAGAGAAGGCTCCGCGGAGACCCTCTAAGTCTTTCCCATGCCTGGAAGAGCTTTGAGGTCCCTTCCAACACAAAGCAATCTGGGATTCCAAGAGTGACTCCATGTCATGAGTCGTTTTCCACCAGCTCACCTCCAGGCTGCAGTGCCCAGTGCTGCAGGACAGAACAGTGGCAGTGGCTGCTCTAACCCATCATCAAGAACCCAAATCCTGCTTGTGTCTGCACTCAGGGCTGCCCCAGACACAGCCGCTCACTGCTTGTCAGTTTATACCGGATGATCTAAGAGGTGGGAACCTGTTCCTCTCCCTCCCCCAAACCACACAGAACTAAGGCAAAAATGAACACTTACTGTTTTTCTGCTTCTTCCTGTCACGAGGAGGCTCCTTCAGAGCTTTGATAATCAGAGCAGAGGCAGAAGGAACAACCTCTATCTAAACAAAGAGAGATTAATTCTTCCCCCCCTGTAAGCAGCAGCAGGGAGCTAAGAGAGATACTGGACCAAGCGCCCGGGAAGCCCCTTGCCAGAGCAGTGTGGCTCTGGCTGGCTCTCCAGGACAGACTATTGGGATGCAGAAGCATGTTCCCAGGCTTTCGGCACAGGCCTCCCCACAGCCAGGAGAGGGCTGCTTCCTAGACTGGGTTTCCTCTCAGCTCACCACTGGAATATACCAGCCACGGAATGCAGGACAGGTATAGTGGCAGGTGGCTACAGGGTTATGTGAAGGAGGTTTGCAGTAATTTGTGTTGGTTCAAACAGCTTTTTCCTGCTCAGATGTTCTGTACAAACAATTTACATGGAACAGGACAAAAGATCAACTTTGGCACATGGAGAAGGTTCCTTAAGGGGAGGCCTCAGAGCAGCTCCCAGTACCTACAGGGGCTACAGGAAACCTGAAGAAGGGCTTTGGACAAGGGCCTGCAGGGACAGGCCAAGGGGAATGGCTTTAACCTGCCCGAGGGGAGACTGAGATGAGCTCTTAGGCAGAAGCTCTTCCCTGTGAGGGTGCTGAGGTGCCGGCACAGATCCTAAACCTCCCTTCCAACCCACAGCATTCCATGAGCACATCTTCTCTTATCTATTGCAGGCCAGGGGCCTCAGCCTCGCAGCCCCAGGTTCATGCACACACAACTGCTGCGGGCTCTGAACCAGCAGCACTCAGAGTGCTCCCTGCACGTTTTCAGGTCTCTCCAGCAGACCCCCACACTGTGCTGTGTGGCACTCACTTTATCCACCTCGGAAGGATGAAGGGCTGAGTGGACCCTGCCGGGACTGATGCTCGTGGTTGTTGCAAGCAGCACAGGGCTGAGCCTCGCGCTTGCCCACGGCGCCATCCCTTGCGGCGTTCAGTACCTGGGCTTGCCTGTTCTGGATGGTCAGCTTCACCGTGATCCGCAGCCCCTTCCAGTCTCCCGTGGCCTTGGCGATGTCATCCCCGACCTTCTTGGGGGACTGAAAATTGAACACGCGTTAAAACCGCGGCCAGGACTGGAACGGAGGGTGCGGAACCCCCATAGGCCATCCCCGTGAGGCCTCCCCGCCCGGTGCCGCGGAACGTACCAAGCCGAGGGGTCCGATCTTGGGGGCCAGAGCGGACGTGGCGCCGACCTCCCCGCCGGTGCAGCGCAGGTACACTGCGGGGACACAGCGCGCGTCAGCCCCGCTCCGCCGGGCCGGGCCCGCCCTCACTGCCCGCTCCACACCCCATCCACCGCTCCGCCGGGCCCGGCCCGCCCTCACTGCCCGCTCCGCACCCCATCCACCGCTCCGCCAACCGGGACGTACCGACTTTGATCTCGTTGGGGTCGAACTTGGGCGGCATGGCGGCGGATGGAGGCGGATGGAGGCGGATGCAGACACACGACCGCCTGCGCTGTCGGGCGAGGGGGCGGAAGGAGCGTTCCCCCTCAGCGGACACTAGATATAGTCTCGTAGATCTCGCGAGAGTTCGCGGCGCAGGGCGGGCAGTGAGCGGGGGGACAGCCGTGCCGCTGGGGGGCGCACGAGCGCGGTTCCGAGGCTGAGCCGGATGGTGGGGGTGGGGCGAGGCGCTTCAGCCGCTTTCTCTATGGTGCTCGTGGTGTCATGTGACTGCGGCGGTGTGGCATCATGGCGGCGGGCAGCGGTGAGCGGGGCCGGGGTTGGGGGGGGCAGCACCGGGGCCTCGGTACGTGCGGGGCCGGGCTCCCGCGGCTCACGGCGGCTGCTGCGCCTGCCGAGCGTCCCCGGCTCCGTGTGGGGGCAAGGTCCCTCAGGCGGCACCCGGGCTGCTCGGCGGGGCGGGCACAGGGCACCCGCAGGGCCGAGTGGAGCCGGCGGTGCCGAGGATGCGCTGCCCGGGCTCGTCGCTGGTGCCCGCTCCGGTGGCGGGGCCGCAGGCAAAGCCCGGCTCCGTTCTGGCGGATAAAAGAGTAAAAGGAGGACGGCGAAAGAGCCTTTGGGAGCTGTGCAGAACCTGGGAGGGGGGCACTGCAGGGAGAAGAGAATAGTGAGAAGAAGGGAAAGAAAGGACCGAGAGGCAGAGCTGGAGCTGGTGGAGAGATTTGCTTCAGGCACTGCCAGGGGAGGGCTGTGGCAGGATCACGCAGAGCCTGGTTATGACAGGGGGTGGTTGGACTGCTGTGACAGCTCCAGCCAAGAAAGCAAACGTGCTGTGGGAGGGTAAGTTACAAAGCTGCAGTTCGTTACTGCCTCCTTCCTGAGCCTTGTTCCCGTGCGTGTTGGGCTGCAGGGCTCCGTAGCCTTGCTGTCAGTGAGCCAGACCTGCAGAGATGGCGGGGACAGTTCTGTCCTTCATGACTAAGCAGCACCTCTGCAGGAGCCCTGCTCACATCCAGACGCTGGCTCACAGCTCCGTTGCTGTGCTCCTGAGCGTGTTTCACAGAGAAAATAAACTCTGTTCTTGCCCAGACAGTTCAGGTCTCCCTCTTCTGGGCTCACTGTTACACTTCTGCTCTTCTCCCACCTTATCCCAGCCTTATCCCCGGCTGATTCTTTCTGCATTGCTCGTTTTTGCCCCTTGCTCTCATATAGCCTCAGGTCAACCCCTTTTTCTCCTTAATTTTATTGCTCACCTAGTCCTCACCTCTCTTTTCCCAGCATCCCAACTGGTACCCATCTCATTACCAGCTGGTGTCCCCATTTCTTGTCCAGCCTTAGCTTTCTGCCCTCTCCTCAAAACCTGCCAGCAAACTCCCTTTTTCTCCCTTGCTGGGTCAGAGCTGACAGGTTCCTGTCACCCCTTCACCCACCTGCAGTCGTGATGCCAGCAGGGATCTTGCTGCCATCCATTCTTTCCTCTCTCTCTGCTTCAGTTCCTCTTCCCTTTACCCTTGCATCAGCTGCTCTCATTGCACCCAGTCAGGCTGAATTAACAGAAATTCTCCATCTCTCAGTCCTCTCCAGTGACCTGGAAAACCCAACCCCTGTTCTGGGACGGTCTGGCTGCCCTGTGAACACAGGCTGGCGTGTGTCAGTCTGACCTGCAGACACGGTGTGGGCACAGTTCTCTGAGTGCCTGGGAGGGCAGAGAGCACATCCTGGCACGTGGCTGGGGCAGCAGCGATCAGCTCTGGTTTGTAGTCAGAGTTTTTCTGAAGTTAAGTTCTTTCAGCTTTACAGGCTGAACCTTAGAATGGTTTGGGTTGGAAGGGACCTTAAAGCTCCTCCAGCTCCAATCCCTGCCACGGCCAGGGACACCTTCCCCTAGAGCAGCTTGCTCCAAGCCCCTGTGTCCACCCTGGCCTTGAACACTGCCAGGGATGGGGCAGCCACAGCTTCTCTGGGCACCCTGTGCCAGCGCCTCAGCACCTTCACAGGGAAGAGCTTCTGCCTAAGAGCTCATCTCAGTCTCCCCTCGGGCAGGTTAAAGCCATTCCCGTTGGCCAAAGTACTAGACTATTGGAAATTGATTTGGCCTTATAAACCTGACTCAAGTCAGTATAAAATGACTTTAAGCTATGAGGTGTTTAAGCAGAATCTTTTCACCTCACTGTGTGACTAAAATGGAGGAGGTATTCCTGTGTGAGACTGCTGCTGCCTGGAAAGCCAACGAACCAAGTGCTCTGTTAACTTGGGACCATCCCTAAAGCTGAGAAGCCAAGTTTAGCTCTGGCACCCCGATTCTTGTGCTCGCCTGACATCCTTGCGCCCGTGACATCCCTGGGAGCGACTGGGATGGACGGTGTGATGTGCCAGGAGAGGCTCTGCTGCACATCAGGTTCCTTGCACATCAGGTTCCCTGTATTTTGAGCTACACTGGGGTCCTGTTTATTCCCCCCTGCCCTGGAAGGGGGAGCAGCTGTGCTACTCTCAGGATTAGGAGTTTTTCTTACTTGTAGCCTAACTTTATTCTAGAACATTTTACAATTGCTTATCATTTGCCAGAATTGACTTTGGATTTAAGTGGTTTGGGGTTTGCTCTTGGTGCTTGATCTTACACAGCGTTTTCAGTTGCTATCCTAGAGTGGACCCTGTGTTTTCCTCATCATTCAAAAGCCTTTCACTGTACATGCTCCAGCTTGACTTAGTTGATCTTGTGCAGGGGTGACCTGCACAAGACAATCAACCCATGTCAAGCACAGCAGTGCTTTTACTGCTCGTATTAACACCTCTACCATGGAGGAGTGCTGGGATCTGCCTGTTTGATCAAGTCACAGAAGGGGATCAAACAACGACAGTTGCTGAGACACTGATGTCTGTGTTTTTCCTTCCATCCCCCCACCCCCTCACATCAGAGCACAATTGTGCAGCCCGGGCTCCCCAGCAGATGCATACTCCAGGAGGCCTCTGCCCTTCTGTGTGCTGATGGTCCGTGCCCCCTGAGGCACAGCTCTAGCCCACACTGAAGATGCCGCTTTTCTTCCGTAAGAAGAAGCCCAGCGATGATGCTCGGAAGCGCCTTGAATACCAAATGTGCCTGGTAAGCAATGGCAGGGGCTGTTCTGTGGCTGCTCCTGGATGCCCCGTGACTTGGTACCTCCCCTGTGTTACCAGTGATCCTGTTACTGATCTCACTGAGACAGCAGGTCACCTTCCTAATGTACATCAGAGAATTCCTGCTTTCCCTGTCTCCCTTTGCCCTCTCATCCACAGGTCCCCTTTGTGCTGCTTCCACTTCTCTCTGCCTCTGTGGTTCCATGTGATGTCCTCAACCACCCACCTCCTGCCAGCCTGCATATGGGACCCTATCACTCCTTTCTCCTCTGTGCCCCTTCACTCTTACAGATCTCCCACTACACTTTTCCTACCAAGGAACCCATCACATCCCCTTTCCCACCCCACCTGGCTTTCCTTGTGCCCCTCTTTTGCTTCTCATTTGATATCTTTTCTTCCTGTCACCTGGAAGATGAGCTTGTTAGATGTTGCTGTTTGTTTTCCTGGACTAGGATTTAGCCAGGATGCTCTGGGGTGGATCCTCAGCAGGTTGCTGTCATGCCAGCGAGGTCACCAGAACTGCCTGTCCTGCAGCAGCCACAGATTCAAAGTTGCCTTTCTTGAAAGCATCTTCTGACTTACCTCACTGCTGTGCTGCAGGAGCTGTGGACTGGAGCTGGCATAGGGGATCTCTGTGCTCTACCCCAGAGGCACCTGCATTTTAGAAGGGACAAAACGATGTGTGTTGGATGTCTGTAAGGTGTTTTGTTAAGGAAGGCTTCGTTATGTGCCAGTAATGAAACCAGTTGTACTGAATTTATTCAGTTGGAGGGTTTCTGCTCAGTGCCTGTGGGGCTGGCAAGGGACAGCATAATCTGTCCATTCTAGGGTTAGTTCTGTATTGCAGTGTGCTCAGTTTAGGGCCAGGATATCCAGTTCTGAGAACTTAACAGAGGCAGTGACACAAGCAGGTTTTATTGCCTTTTATTACCTTTAAGAAAATAATGGAGGTGGTTGATTTGACCATGGAAATACACTTCTGCACAGAAGCAGTGGGTCCTTGGTCCTTCTTGCACAGCAGGACTGCTCTGCAGGTCCCGTGGCAGCAGAAAGGCAACGGGAGTTTGGCTTCTGTGTACAGCTCAGCAGAAGGGTGCTCTGCTGGGTGAGACAAGCCAGGGACACAGCAGGCTCTCCATGGGCTGGGGTGGCTCTGCTGCTGCTCCCACGAAGTGCTTGAGAACCCAGCATTTGCTTTATGTATCTTTTCAGTTCAGATTGCAGAATTAGGATGCGCTTTGGCTCTTTGTGCTGAAATTCATTTGTTGGACTAAAAGGCTTTCTCTGCAGTTTGGTTTCCTGGCTGCTTTTGCTTGCTGAAGCAGCACTCTCTGCTTTTAGTGTTGTCATTGAGTTATGGAGCTGTGGCAGGGAGCTGGGATTGCATGTTCCAGGGAGGGACAGTGAGTACCTTAGTCAATGTGCAGCAGGGGGTCATGTATTCCTGCATGGTCTAATCCTCTGGGTGGGTGTCTTCTCTCCTCAGGCAAAAGAAGCGGGTGCTGATGACACTCTGGACATATCCAAATGTGAGCTCTCAGAGGTGGGTTCTCTACAGCTTCCAGTGTTAGCTCCCACTCACACAGTGTTAGAGGCTGATTCCTCTGTCTGCTTCTTGTCACCAACTCTCAGATTTAGTATCGTGACTGTGAGCCTTGAGGCAGAAATGGGTCCACTTCTTCCTGTGTCTGCTGAGCTCTGGCTTTCAGGTGGAGGCTTTTTCCTCCCATTTGTGGGGAGGAATTACCTCTCTTACCTGATGCTTCAACAAGATTTCTGTCCTGAGAATCCTTTTTCATTTGACAAGATGGGAAGGGCAGAGTGGTGTCACACCTTCCATCAGTCCCTTGGTAGGACCCTGGTGTGGGACCTCATGGCCTAGTTTTGCTAGTCCTAGAAGAATTTGTTTGCCAAAGGCTGTTTCTGATCCCAGAGCTCCAAAGTCTGCCACCT